CGTCACGTGCCGCAAGGTAACAGGTAAAGCATATAGTATTCCGACGCCCCACCTTTACCGAGCAACAGATTGAAACAAGCACCACCATTCACTGTGACAGGGATAGATTTCACTGGAGCATTGACAGTAAAAACACCTCATGGAGATCTACAAAAGGCATATATTTGTCTTTTCACGTGCGCAAATACACGAGCTATCCATTTAGAGATTGTGCCAGATATGACTGTGGAATCATTCATTTTGGCTCTACGGCGTTTCTTCAGTAGAAAATCAATTCCAAAAATTATAATGTCTGATAACGCCCTTACATATATAGCCACTGCCAAAATCCTGAAGGACGAGATTCTTGGAACACACAATATTTCATGGACTTTTATCCCGCAACATGCCCTTGGTATGGTGGTTGGTGGGAGAGACTTATAGGTATTACCAAGACATGTATCAGAAAAGTACTTTGGAAATCATTAATAAGCATGGAAGTTCTTTCGTACACTTGTAACAGAAATAGAATGCATTATCAATGACCGCCCTCTTACATATACATATACAGATACCAAAGATGAAGAACCATTAACACCATCGCATCTACTATACGGACGAAGGATTACCTCCCCTATTTATCCAGACGACAGAGATCCCACAACAAAGGAATTAACCCAAGAATCGGCCGGTAAATTGTTCAGATTTTAAGACTGCAACGCTTGATCATTTTTGGTCAAGATGGAAACACGAATACCTCACATCGTTGCGAGAGTTTCACAGAAAATCTGGTAACCATGGTGACAATATCAATGTTAGTGACGTGGTTCAAATACATGACGAGTATTTACCAAGGAATCGCTGGTCATTAGGAATTATAGAAGATGTAGTAACTGGCGGTGATGGACATATTCGAGCAGCCCCGTGTTAGATCCAGACGAGGAATTACTACACGACCTATTGCCAAGCTGTACCCACTAGAACTTAAGTAACATTGTACACGTGATTCACGTGCATTGCCGGCACCAATTTTTCGCGCATGCCTTTAAAACATAAAGTGACATTTGCAATTCGTTATATATAATCAGTGAAACTTTTACCGTTTTTATTGCAATAAGAGTATAATAACAATGATTTGAAACTAATTGCAATGGTGGTTTACTATCAGAGACAGTTAATGAATTTAATTGATTGATCGAACTTGTAATTTAATTTACTAGATATATCTGATTTTAAAGTTTCTAAGTTACAATACTTCATTTCATTGAATTTCATTTTTTGGTAAAATTTTTTATTTTTTTTTAATAGTTTCTTAAACGGGCATTGTGGCCCGGAGGGGTTACGTACTTTTTGTAGGGTACTTGAGTTTTTGGGGAAAATATTGCGTCATTTAGGGGTGACGCGCCATTTATCCCTTTATTTTTATTGCCGAAATTAAATTTTGATTTTGATTTCCCGGGAAATCGAAAAATAAAACCCGTTTTAAAAACCCAGTCAATCTTTGGATTTTTTAATTTAAAAACATTTTTTTTACGTAATATTATGTACTATTTTGCCCTTTTTATTAGGCACTTTAGGGGTAAACGCCCAAATTTTATACTTTAAATTGTATTGACGTCATTATATGAGTTGACTTCCGGTAATCTATAATAAAACAACGTTATTGAAGAACCAGTGCAATCTTTTGATTATTTAGTGTTTACACAACAACTCTAGCGGTCACATTTTTGCATCAATCATCATCAAACTTGGTCAAGATGCTTGTCTAGGTGATAGCTCGGATGAGTTCGAACATGGGTCATCTCGGATGAAAAAGTAGGTCACTGGAGCTAAAAATAGAAAAACCTTGTTAACACTCTAGCGGTCACATTTTTAGCTCGACTTTTCTATGAAAAGGGGAGCTATCCTACTCGCCCCGGCGTCTGCGTTGGCGTCACACCTTGGTTAAGTTTTTCGTACCACCCCACTTTATTTCAGAAGTATTACAAGTATGGCTTTGAAACTTACCATACTTGTTCACCATCATAACCTCCATCTACAGACAAGAGTACATAACTCTGTCAAGGTTTTTGACAGAATTATGGCCCTTTTTTGACTTAGAAAGTGTATTGAGCTTGGTTAAGTTTTTTGTACCACCTCACTTTATTTCAAAACCATTGGAGGTATTGCTTTGAAACTGACCATACTTGTTTACCATCACGACCTTCATCAACAGACAAGAGGACATAACTCTGTCAAGGTTTTTGACAGAATTATGCCCCTTTTTGACTTAGAAAATACATTGAATATGGGTAAAATCCACTTATTGCCTTAACCCTTTGAGATATTGCTTTGAAACTTTTAATGCTATTTCACATCATTACCCCCATCTGTACGCAAGAGAAGGTAACTCTGTCAAGGATTTGTTTTAAAAAATTAAGGCCTTTTATCGACTTAGAATCTTGGTTAAGTTTTTAGTACCAGTCCACTTTTTTGACTGAACTGTTTGAGATATTAATTTGAAAGTTGGAATACTTGTTTACAATCATGATTCCCAAACATGTCCAGGAGAAGGTAATTCTGTCAAAGATTTTATTTGAATTATGGCCATTGTTCACTTTAAAAAAATACAGAGATTCTTGTATTGCCTTTTACTGCAAAAACTTTTTTTTTATGGCAAGCAATAAAAAAGTCGAGCGCGCTGTCTTACGGACAGCTCTTGTTGCATCAGTCATCATCAACTTTGTCAAGATGTTTGTCTAGGTGATAGCTCGGCGGATGAAAAAGTAGGTCACCGGAGCTAAAAATAGAAAAACCTTGTTAACACTCTAGCGGTCACATTTTTGCATCAACCATCATCAAACTTGATCAAGATGCTTGTCTAGGTGATAGCTCGGATGAGTTCGAACATGGGTCATCTCGGATGAAAAAAGTAGGTCACCGGAGCTAAAAATAGAAAAACCTTGTTAACTCTCTAGTGGTCATAATTTTGACTCAATTGTCATCAAACTTGCTCAGGAAACTTGTCTATGTCATTGCTGGGAATAAATCGAACATGGGACATCTCGGATGAAAAAACTAGGTCACAGGAGCTAAAAATAGAAAAATCTTGTTAACACTCTAGTGGCTACTGTTTGTGATCCAATATATCTGTTAATTGGTCTGAAAGTTTGTTTTGATGATTTCTAAGTCAAGATCGAACATGGGTCATCTTGGATGAAAAACTAGGTCATTCACCGCCCAAATATTGAAAAACCTTGTTAAACATTCTAGTGGTCACATTTTCGACTCAATTATCATCAAACTTGGTCAGGATGCTTGTCTAGGTAATTGCTTGGATGAGTTCGAAATCGCATGTGAAACTAGGTCACCGGAGCTAAAAATAGAAAAATCTTGTTAACACTCTAGTTGCAACTGTTTTGATCCAAGTATCCTGGAAATTGGTCTGAAAGTTTGTTTTGATGATTTCTAGGTCAAGTTTGAATATATGTCACCTGGGTAAAAAACTAGGTCGCACTGCTCAAATATGGATAATCCTTGTTAACACTGTAGTGGTCACATTTTTGACTCACCTGTCATGAGACTTGGTCAGAATGCTTGTCTAGGTAATTGTTTGGATGAGTTTGATAAGTCAGGTGAGCGATCTAGGGCCATCATGGCCCTATTGTTCTTTATCTTCTGGAGGTATGCTGCTTTAAAGCAATTATTTATTCACTATTATCTTAGATATTTGGTTTATTGTATGATTTACCCAATTTAATGCATTCTGGAGTTGAGGTAATGACTAAAGAGGATTTAAGAATAGAATTTTATTTCATTCATATACACAGAAGTATAAAAAAGCCATTAAATTAATTAATATTACACTAGTGTAACCACTATGTTTCATGACACCATTGTGTTATTCACAAACATCAAAATAGGCTAAATATTAGCATTGTACTACATGTATATGTGCATCAATGAAAACAATTGTTTTTTTTTACTGTATACCATTTTTTTGGGCAAGTAATAAATGAAAATATCATTTTGTGTTTACTTCTAAATTTTTAGAACTCGTTAAACTAAACAATACTATGCTTGCCAAATACTCTCATGATATGATTTTTTCATATTGTTCAAACATTTTAGTAGTTTTTTTTGTAATATAACAAATAATAATTAAACCAGATGCATTAAAAAATGGATATTCCAGAATTAATTATTACCTATAATAAATAAAACATATTATACTCTTTGCATACATTTTGAGAAAAAGGCATATATTTAAAAAAACATTTTTCTTTTTTTTTTGTGAATCATTTGTTTTACTGATCAGATGTCAAACACTTCAATGTTGTCAACTGTAAATCTACTAATACACATCTTTGTCATTTGTTGATTACAACAGACTGTCTGTATTTCTCTTTTCGACTATCAGCTTTTATAACATTTCCCATCAGCTCACCATCACATGTAAACAGTAAAACATTTTTGGAGTTAAATCCAGATACCAGCACACTGCCTGCTTCAGTGAGATAACAACAGTTAGCCCCCTTTATTTGTTTATCATTAAATGATGTAATAACCTGACCATTGTTGTCCAGTACTATCAGTCCATTATTGCTGTCAGCAACATAAATCCTAGTAGCATCCTTACTGACAGCTAAGCTGCATATGTTAGAGAACAATTGATGTCCTGATTGATACTTACTGAACTGATGAAGTTTCCTGCCAGATTGATACTTACTGAACTGATGAAGTTTCCTGCCAGACAATGTATACATATAAACTGATGTGTTACCATCTGAGATATATAAATTATTGTTTGCATATGCAAGACCATAACATTCGAAATCAGTTTTAACCTTGTTTGTTGTTTTCATATGTCTTTCTAGAGAAATGAAATGGACTTCCTCTTGTAATGGCATAGTTACTGCTACTTGTGTGTTATTGATCATACACACTTGCCATGTAACTCCAGGTAGATCACAGTAGTCTGTGACAGTATAGTTGTAACGGTGTAACCGTTTAAGTTTGTTGTTGTATTCATCAGTTAGAATTATTGTACCATCTTCCATACAGCAGGCACTCTTGACATTACAACTGTCATCTGACTTAACTTTGACATTATATGATTGATTTCCTTTAATCTGAAATAAATTGTCCGCAGTCTTTGTAGGTTTCTCTGATAGTATGCCTATGGTCTTCTTTTGTTCTAACTGTGTAAGAATTGTTCTGTCAGGTTGAAACTCTATGTCTCCTACTTACTTTTTATTTTGGCATGCTCCATATATTTGTTGGCAACATTTGCAGCATCTTCTCCCATCTTCACATAAACAAACACTTCAGAATGATTTGTGTTTGTAGATGCTAACTTATCATTAGCTGATCTAATCCTGGACTTATTTGCTTGTAGCTGTTTTTAAACTGTCTTCGATTTTGTCTTCAAGACATTTTACTTTACTCTCTATCTCATTAATAGAACTTTTCTCCAGCTTGTCAAGATGGTCATTGATTTCTTGACGGAATTTTCTGATAAAAGCCAGTATTTCTGCTTTCCTCTTTAACAGCCTTTGTTTATCCTGTTTAAATCTATCAGCTTGTTTTTCAAGGGTTTTGGTTATTTCTTTAAGTTTTGCTTGAATGTCTCTCGATTCAACTTGGTAAGAATTATTTTGGATAAATTCTGGTATGTAGAATGTGTCCTTACATAATCTGAAAAATAAGTTCAAACAGTTTATGAGACGTAGGAGATTATATTTTATTTAGTGTTATATATTTAAAATAGTCTAAGAATATTATGTAAAGTACCTATATACTAAACATTCCATATACAAATGTACTTACTTAAAAAAATATATCTTTGTTTAAAGACTATAGTTTACCTGTGATCAACTGCCATACATGTAGAACAACCAACATTATCATGGTTCTGACAGTACATATCAATGTGTTTATGACTGTGTCTGTCACATCTCTCTGCAGGTGCCCTCGGCAGCCTTTTGCTGGTTCCTGACTTAACTTGAGATTTATCCAATACCTTGTGACCAGCTAATACAGGCACTTTACTGTGAATTTTGACACAACTAACACAGAAATAATCGTGACAGTCAACACAGTATTTTTCACCTTCAGTGTTCCTGCCTTCATTTCTACACATTGAACATAATACATCAAATATTTCATCCGAAAGAATATCTGTATTAATTTGTCGACCTGTAGCCATTTTGTTTTTTTTCCCCCGACTATGTTTGTTAGTTGATCTATTTACATTGTAAAATCGATAAAATTGTCTCTATTTCTTTCACAGTTATATTAAATTTAAACAATGATGTACTCTATAATTAAGATAACTGAAAGCCTTAAGAATCTTCTACATTGTACTTCTTGAAAAATATCAATTTCTCAATATTTTTAGCTCACCTGTCACAAAGTGACAGGGTGAGCTTTTGTGATCGCTTTTCGTCCGGCGTCCGTCCGTCGTCCGTCCGTCGTCCGTCCGTAAACTTTTGCTTTAAATGACATCTCCTCATAAACCACTGAGCCAATTTCATCCAAACTTCACAGGAATGTTCCTTTGGTGGTCACCTTTAAAAATTGTTCAAAGAATTTAATTCCATGCAGAACTCTGGTTGCCATGGCAACCAAAAGAAAGAACTTTAAATATCTTCTTTTAAAAAACCATAAGAGCTAGAGCTTAGATATTTGGCATGAAACATCTTCTAGTGAGTGTCTACCAAGTTTGTTCAAATAAAAGCCCTGGGGTCAAAATTGGCCCCGCCCCAGGGGGGCATTGATTTTCCCTATATGCATATAGTAAAAACTTAAAAAATCTTCTTTTAAAGAACCCAAAGAGCTAGAGCTAAGATATTAAGCATGAAACATCTTCTAGTCAGTGTCTACCAAGTTTGTTCAAATAAAAGCCCTAGGGTCAAAATTGACCCCGCCCCAGGGGTCATTGATTTTCCCTATATGCATATAGCAAAAACTTAAAAATCTTCTTTGGAAAAACCCAAATAGCTAGAGTTTAGATATTAAGCATGAAACATCTTTAAGTAAATATCTACAAAGTTTGTTAAAGTAAACGCCCGGGGGTCAAAACTGGCCCTGCTGCAGGGGTGTCATTGTTTTTAACTATATGTGTATAGTAAAAACTTTAAAAATCTTCTTTTAAAAAAGCCAATGAGCTAGAACTTAGATGTTTAGCATGAAACATCTTCTTATGGGTGTCTACCAAGTCTGTTCAAATAAACATATAAAAGCCCTTGGGTAAAAATTGGCCCGGGGGTGGGGGGGGGCCTATATACAGGTGAGCGACCTCAGGGCCATCATGGCCCTCTTGTTTTTTCATTGATTTAAATCCTCTCCTATTGCTCAATAATGTTTAAATGATTTGACCTACTTTGGGTTTAACTTATCAAAGGTGCCCTTATACTTCCTTGCACAAAGTCCAACTTTATCTGTATGAAGGCAGTCATTGCCAAAATTCCAGAGATGTTAAGTATTCCTTTAAAAATTACTTTTGAAAATGCAAACTTGTATGCCTACCATTTTATTGTACCTGCGCATAGCACATAGAATGCCTGTTAATCCAATCTTTTAATTGAAGGTTCCCGCCTTTATATAACAAGTTTTCGTATAGACTGTTACAACTTACCTAACATGGAAAACAACAACAAACTTACAAGTTTGTATCTTCCAGTGCATACAATGCATATGCAAGTTTGCACACTTAAATATTCTGTACCTGAAATATACAAATGAAATGTAAAACTCGAATACTGAAAATAGAGTTTAAGAAAACATGATTCCAGTTGTAGAACTACAAGAGTAAGTTCACACAGTAATATGTTTAAATTGACAAAAGTAGATAAATAAAGTTAAATGATTTTAAGTCATGCGTGACGCCCCACCCGTCCTTGAGTAGTTACGAACTTTTGCTGACAGCGTCTCTCCTCTATTTCTAAAAAAAAATGAAGAAAAACACGCCGCATTCTTCCAACATATTTTTGTTGCATTTGTTTCAAAAGTTTAATCTGATATGATTATCTACATCACTTGAACATTGCTGATTTTACCATTTACTTAATACAAAATGATTAAGATAACTTATGCACTAACTTATTATTTAACCTCGTGTTTTTCTGAGAAACATCGGCGATTTGGAAATTTAAGAGGCAAAATGACCAACTACAAGCGAGTAATTTTATTCATAATCTTAAAGGCATTCAATATTTGTATTGATATCATTGTAATATGTATTGGCACAAATTTCATTTTAAACAAACTATGCGAGTATTTGAAAAAATAGGATTTTAAAGCGGCCACTAAGATTTTCTTTCCGAAATCAAGAAAGTACTTATCCGAAGCACATATGTACAATCTTAAATAAGGTATGTTCAGTGTTAATAAATACTTTTTTAATATACTTGAAGCTTATGGTGTTAACTTTCATTTTATGTTCATTTTCTATTTTGAAAATTGATTAATTTATAAAGTATCTAATTGATTTTCTTGACGAATATATGAGTGTGGTTTTAAAGAGAAGAGAGAAAAAACAATGATAAATTTGAAACAAAATTGTTTAAAGCTTCTACATAATTTTATTATCCCCCGCCAAAAAAGGCGGCGGGGATATTGAAATAGTCTCCGTCCGCTGTCCGTCCGTCCTTCCGTCCGACATTTTTGTCCGGAGCATATCTCTAAAAGTATTTGAGTTATCAACTTGAAACTTCATAGGTGGATAGACCTCATTGAGGAGGAGTGCAGTGCACAAGAATGATAACTCTACCTTTCATAATTTTTGAGTTATTGCCCTTTGTTATTTTTCAAAATTGAATTTTGTTAAGAGCATAACTCCAAAAGCCTATGAGATATCAACATGAAACTTCATAGGTGCATATATCTCACTCAGGAGGTGTGCAGTGCTAAGAATGATAACTCTACCTTTTATAATTTTTGAGTTATTGCCCTTTGTTATTTTTCATACTTAATTTTTCACCTGAGTGGAGCAAAACTCAAAAAGTTTTTGAGATATCAACATGAAATGTCATAGTTGGATAGATCTTATTGATGAGGAATGTTGTGCGCAAGAATGATAACTCTTCCCTATACAATTTTTGAGTTATTGCCCTTTGTTCTTTTTCATTCTATTTTGTCCAGAGCTTATCTCAAAAAGTATTTGAGGTATCAACTTGAAACTTCATAGGTGGATGGATCTCATTGAGTAGGAGTGCATTGCACAAGAATGATAACTCTACCCTGCATTATTTTTGAGTTATTTCCCTTTGTTATTTTTCAAAATTAATTTTTGTCCAGAGCATAACTCAAAAAACCTTTGAAATATCAAAATGAAACTTCATAGGTGCATAGATCTCACTCAGGAGGTGTGCAGTGCACAAGAATGATAACTCTACCTTTCCTAATTTTTGAGTTATTGCCCTTTGTTATTTTTCATACCTAATTTTTCACCCGAGTGGAGCATAACTCAAAAGTGTTTGAGATGTCAACATGAAATAGCATAGGTGGATAGATTTTATTGAGGAGGAATGCTGTGCACAAGAATGATAACTCTTCCCTGTACAATTTTTGAGTTATTGCCCTTTGTTCTTTTTCATACTATTTTGTCCGGAGCTTATCTCAAAAAGTATTTGAGGTATCAACTTGAAACTTCATAGATGGATGAATCTCATTGAGGAAGAGTGCAGTGCACAAGAACGATAACTCTACCCTGCATAATTGTTTAGTTATTGCCCTTTTTTTATTTTTCAAAATTAATTTTTGTCCAAAGCATAACTCAAAAGGCCTTTGAGATAACATTATGAAACTTCATAGGTGCATAGATCTCACTCAGGAGGTGTGCAGTGCACAAGAATGATAACTCTACCTTTTATAATTTTTGAGTTATTGCCCTTTGTTATTTTTCATACTTAATTTTTCAATTCAATTTTTTTCTCAAAAAGTATTTGAGGTATCAACTTGAAACTTCATAGGTGGATAGATTTTACTGAGGAGGGATGCAGCACACAAGAATGATAACCTACCCTGCATTATTTTTCAGTTATTGCCCTTTGTTATTTTCAGCCATCAGTATTCACATAGGTTTCAAATCTGTAATCACTATAGCCATCAGTTTTCATTACCAAAAGACCTCTTAAAATGGAATTATTCTGCTCTACTACATATACATTCTTCCAATGAGCAAACACATTCGGTGGGGGTTGGCCATGTTGACATGGCTCTTGTTTTTAAGGCATCACTAGACAGTTCATGAAGGATTCTTTTATTTTACACCTTAGACATTTTAAAATTGATCAAGAAAATGAAAAAGTAAGTAGGGGGTGCCGTGGTTTTCCTACTGAATTTCAGAGTGTGGTTGTCAGAAAGTAACCATGGTAAACTTTAAAATGAAAATTTTAATACTTCTCCTTAATTCATTTTTATTTTTAGGCATTATTTAATTATAGACTTAAAACATATGAAGCACACTTTTATTTCAATCCAACATTATCAAAATTGATAACGAAATTAAAAAGAAAAGTTTGGAGGGGACGCCGTGTTTTTCTTACTGAATTTGGGAGTGTGATTTTGAGAGGCAAAAATGATAAATTTTGTAACAAATAGAAAGCTTATGGATCTTTCATTTGATATCAAAATTATTTATTTTTTATAAATTTGAAAAAGTTAGAAGGGACGTTGTGTTCTCCTTCACTTTATTGAGAAATAGGAGAGAGGCGACGGGTTTTATACCTGTCCTTACATTTCCGTAACAAGAGTTTCCAATTACCCAAAGAGGGGCAGGGCGTCATGCATCACTTAAAATCATTTATCTTTGTAAATCTACTTTTGTCATTTTAAAAATGTTACTGTGTAAACATACTTTTGTAGTTCTACAACTGGAAACACGTTTTTTTAAACTCTATTTTCTTTGTTTTAGTTTTACATTTCATTTATACATTTCAGAGTTTAAGTGTGCAAACATGCTTATGTATTATATGCAATGGAAGATACAAACTTGTAAATTTATTGCTGTTTTCCATGTTAAGTATGTTATCTACAATTAAACTTGTTATTTATAAGCTTCGCCTTCAATTAAAAGATTGGATTAAGAGGCATATTATTTGCTGTACACGAATGCAAACAAAACTGCTAGACATACACGTTCGCATTTTCAAATGAACACTTTTCATGTCTGGAATTTGGCAACGAACGCCCTCCATATATCTGGTGAAACATTATCTAAAGTTTATTCATTTTCACTACTAAATTGTTAAACTTAAGGTACATAAATCAGAAAGTGTTTACATAGGGCTGGTTTAACATTTAAATCAATATTACACGGAAGAAAAAATATTTAACTGATAAAAAATACTTCACTTGAATAGCAAGTGGGTTTACAATATTCCTACTTGAATAATGTTGAATCACCCTTAGGATATGTTGCCTGCTTTTTAAATTTGTCTTTTGACGTCTTATCTGTGATACGCAGGCTTCATAACCTCTGATCCCCTTTCAAAATTCCATTTTATTTAGTTCCGCCCATTGTTTTCTCGTTTAGGGC